CGACTCGGCTCCCTGTACCTTGTGTTGCATAAGGTCATATGAGCACCAAGGGGTGAATGTCAACCGAGAAGTCCGAATAGGGAATCAGTTGCGAGCGCCGTAAAACCTTATTTTTAAAAAGAACCTCCCCTGACTGACTCATCTCCCTACCTCTTGTGTCTCCACAGACTCCTCGGTGGCCATCAAGATCGGCGGCTGCTTCCCTCCACACAGCCTGGTCCTCACCCATCACGGAAACACGGTACCCATGACGGAAGTCCACGTCGGAGACCGCGTTCTGAGCATGCGCAGTGACGGACAGCTGGTGTACAGTGACGTCGTAGCCTTCCTGGACCGCAGCGCGAGCCAAGTGGGTCAGTACTACTCTCTGAGCACCGAGTCGGGTCGACAGATCACCCTGACGGCCAAGCACCTTATCTACGTCACAGGCGGGACGCCAGATGACGTGGACAGCCTGGCGTTAGGGTCGTCTTCACCAAAGATGTCGTCATCATCTTCTCCTTCCTCGCCCTTTTTTTCTGATACCTCAGTTTCTCCCAGCGTTGTGTTCGCTGAGGAGGTCAGAGTGGGTCAGTACCTCATTCTGGCTCACACAGACGGCACGGACTTCGTTCTGCCGCCCCACCACAGCGCGGGAGACGTCTCTCCAACTGGTGACGTCTTTAAAACTGATGACGTCTCTCAAACTGGCGGCGTCTCTCAAACTGGCGGCGTCTCTCAAACTGATGGCGCTTCCTCCTCCCCGCGGAGGGGGGCAGGTAGATCTACATCTGCGCCACAAGACATTGACAAAAACGTTGTGTATACCTCCCCTCCCACTCCCTCCCCCTCCTCAAGCGTCGGGTTCACGCGGGTAGAGAGAGTGGTGTCCGTCAGCGCGCGGTCAATGACCGGGGTGTACGCGCCGCTGACGTCACACGGGACTATCGTCGTGGACGGCGTCGTCACTTCCTGTTACGCTTTCATCAAAGACGAGCGTTTGGCTCACGGAGTCTTTGCCCCTGTGCGGGCGTACCACGTGATGAAAACACTTGTCAGTGATTGGCTGAGGGAATATTATGGACCCTTTTTCAGTTGGATAGAGAAGTTGGCGATACCGGTATTGTCCCCTGTTGATAAATCGTTGGTGGCGGCGGGGAATGGAACTGTCTGCCCTCAGCAAGACGGGGCCCACTGGTACGCCCGGGCCCTCTACAGTGTAGCCATAAATGTATTGGGGATGGATCTGACCATAGCCATATGAATACCTCTGCGAGTATCTAGGATTCGGAGAGGCGAATACACTGATGCACAGACACACATTATTGATGCTGAAAAGTTCAGTAGTAAACTTAGTGACATTCATATACATGTACTTGCATGAGCACACGAGCACCGACAGGAACAGAATTACATGCTTATAGAAGATAGCAACAACAACAACAACAGCAACAACAACTACAACAACAACAACACCAACAACAACTACAACTGGTCGTGCACTTGTAGCGTGTTTATTCACGCCAACAACCTCAAGGATAGTACATACATAGGGACAAAGGAAACTCAGAACAAAGCCACCCGAATAAGAATAAACTATCAGAAAATCATAGACAGCGAATGATCTTGTCAGTATGTTAGTGTTTTAGCCCCTCTAAATGACCGCTTGCACTGTATGCTTCCTAGGAATTTGAAATTGTTTCAGAATGCTCTCAGGTCTGTTGGGGTAATAGTATAGATTGTGAAGTGCATAGAGCTTGCTGTTGAGCGGGGATTTTCGGTATAAAAAAAGCTATCTATTATTAAAATCCAAGGTAAAGTTTTAGGACCCTTGTTCAGTTTCTTTAAAAGACAAGGAGAGTTTTCTCTATAACCAAACAAATGTATACTCCAATGAAACCAAACGTTTCCTATAGGTAGGACAATGCCCACTTTTGGTGTGGGGGAAGATTTCTCGAAAACCCCAAGTTTGGGTTAGCCCGCTTGTCCGTCAAATTCATGCCGTGAAAAATTTGCACCCAACCCACGCCATATTGCAGTGAACATGGCTACAAAAGAAGAATTTTACTGATAAACACACACACACACACACACACACACACACACACACACACACACACACACACACAACATGACGTGCAACATGACACGCAACAACACAAAGGTAATACACTTTTGAAAGCTAACTGTGGCTACCGTGGAACTGTACAAAGTAACTGCTACACAAAGAAGCAGGACGACCTTTTTGTCTATCTGTGTTACTATTGAATGAATACAGTGCTCGCAACGGCGTGGAAAAACACTGGAACACTCGCTTGTGAAAATTATTATTCTTATCATTCAACTCCATGTCTTACATTCAAGCCCATTCTATGTAGAACAGAATTGTGAACGTGTTTTATATAATAATAATATTATGATCGTGAGTGATTCAACGCGTCAATATATTGATGAGTGGAGGCTGTACATTTTACATCAGAATATCGGGGGCAACGTTTGTATGTATGATCATTCTCATGTGTTTGTCGTGTTTTACAATGATGTTTTCGTTCCCTGCACATTCACTGGGAAACGTATTAATTTTATTTGTGAAATTTTCTTCCATTTAAAAAAAAATATTATGTGACTGCACGTCGCTCTTAATTTAGTTCCGTTGTTGTTGTGTTGTTTGTTTGTTTTGTTTTTATATTTATATTTTTATTATTTTTTGTTGTTGGTTCTAAAGATTTCAGGTCTGAAGCCACATCTGTTTTATTTGAGTGGGTTTTTTTAATGGTTTTTTCTTTTTTTTTTCTTTTTTTCTTTTTTTTTTTGTTTGTTCGTTTACTTGGTTGTTGAGAAAATTCCGCTTTAAATACAGTGAATTGTTTTAATGACGTACCTTCTCTGAAGTCGTGGTAGATCCACTTATTCAGAAGAGCAGGGAAAACTGGAAAGTATAGTGACAAGTAAAGTAAGTATGTATATATACACATTAATTTAAACATAAAAAACTAAGTCATGCTGATGTCAAAATCTATTGTCAAAGACAAATTTATTCAAGCCAAAAACGTGTAATGAACAATAAACCTACTCTCCCAAGTGCTACTAAGGCGTAAATTTAAGCCCAAACCCTCAACAGAGCTGTTGATTCTGGAAATAACACAGATTCAGCTAAAACCTGTTCTAAAACTTGGAAAATGGAAGAATCTCTTACAAGAGTGTACATAAATAATGCGTAGACTAGATCTAGCAGGCAATTACAAATTTTCAAATTTAAAAAAACAACAACAACCGCGCACAACTACAATGTGGGGCCTACTTGCGAAAGTGCACAAGGCAAGAACGATAAATCTACACATTCTCACGAGGATATGTAGTATTATGTAGTCAGTTATTCAATTCATCATGACGTCAGCTGACAACAATTTGCAGTGGTAACCAAACTCTTCCTCGTGAGAGGACTACTGAAGAATCATTTTTCAGTTGGCATTCCTCGGCCTAATACAGATCAGTTGTTGTTTTTTTTACATCCAACGGAAAAGAAACACAGCTTTCATTCTTTGTTTAAACATCTATAATAATATAATGTCTATTCTTTTCCTGGGGTTTTGTCAATAGCTCAAACCCTCAACAGAGCTGTTGATTCTGGAAATAACACACACACACAGCTAAAACCTGTTCTAAAACTTGGAAAATGGAAGAATCTCTAACAAGAGTGTACATAAATAATGCGTAGACTATTTTGGTACAGATACGACTATTTTTTAAATTATTTTTTTTTGTTGGTTTCTATTTTGAAGGTATTTTCTTGTCCTCGATGTTCAGTTATTGTTGCGTGACCAGACGACATCTACCAAAGCTATGTTACACATGAATGTCCCCACATATTTATAACAATATGACCATTTGTGTTTGCGCTGATCGGCTTCTGTATAATACGTACTTCCTTTGTTTGTATATATATAATATATACCTCGCCATTGTAATAAGATGTGATGTATACGTGCTGTTCTTATTGACATGTTTATTGCGTTTCTTACGAACTTTTATCAGGTTCTTTATGTTTGACTTTTTTTTTTTTTAAAAGCTTTTCAGGGTATGTTTTGCGCCCCTCTAGACTCAGAATCGGTTGTTTCTACGGCAGACGCACGATTGTTGCACCCACTCTCTTGTGACAGACGCTCGGTTGTTGCACCCACTCGCTTGTGAGAGACACACATCTACGACAAACGAACAACGGAGGACAGACACCATGGGGCTTGAACTTCAGGCCTTTCACGTCGTCAGTTAGGAAAACACACGAAAACTGCAACCCTGACTATTGCATGACAGCATAGAGGTAACGATAACTAACGTTTATCAACAACTAAATAAGTACCTAACCTGTTGTGACGTTGTTTTGCTCTACGAGGGACTGAGAGGTCAACTAATTTGATGATTAAGACAAAGAAATATTTGAGACAAAGAAACATTTGAGACAAAGAAACATTTGAGATAAATAAACGTTTGAGATAAGGGAACATTTGAGACAAAGAAACATTTGTGATAAAGGAACATTTGAGATAAATAAAAATTTGAGATAAAGAAACATTTGAGACCAAGAAACATTTGAGACCAAGAAACATTTAAGATAAAGAAACATTTGAGACACAGAAACATTTCCAATACGAACATGACCACACCAGTCTCGGGGGTTCCGAGCAAGCCTTAAGTTATGCTTTTTATTCCCACTAATGTCAGCCTGTTCAGACTAAAGTAAAACTGGTGAAACCTAGTCAGCTAGCCACCCACGAACACAGTAATTTATTCATGGAAGTTTGTAGCTATAACCTACGCCTTAACCCTAACCGTACGTCGTGTTTCACTGTCGTATCCATACGACATGGGGAACTCTGTGCCACCACTTTCTAAGAGGAAATTTACTCGTTAATCCGATCCGTTCGCTTTGCATAGCACTGGTCGGTCAAAATGATTTTTTTTATAAAAGAAATACTGAAAGTTTCAAAGAGATCTTCGTACTAGAAGTATTCTAAAATGTAAAGAATACAACCCCGGGGGTACAAAATGACCCCAGGACGTACGGATAGGGTTACCAAAGAGTCTGATATGACAGGGGTTTTAAGTTTTTCAGAAACAGAGCCAAATATATAATGGGTCCCTCAACAAAAACTGTTTACCTTTGAATGTATACTTAGTAGTAGTGTAGTAACGAACCTACCTAATTAGTTGCGCTATCCTGTAGACACACACACAGACAAGTGAGGGTCGGAAAGACACCACACACAGACAAGTAGGGGTCGGACAGACACCACACACAGACAAGTGAGGGTCGGACAGACACCGTCACGTTTAAGATGCGGCATTATAGAGCCTCCTCCTCCTCGTCTGCTAAATTTGCACGCGTTTGCTTGCCACGTTTTTGAAGAATTTTCGTTTCGTTTCTCAATTCGTTCATGCTAATAATTTTATATATATATATATATATTATAATACTTGTCTTTTTTTACTCTTCCACACAACTACCTGTATTGCATTAGAAGGAATTA